AACAGAAAGAAGAAGAAAATTAGTGATAGAAAAAAGCCAAGAAACAATCAACCAAATAGAAATAATAAAGAATCAAATGAAAAGAATTATAAAAGAATGTAATAATGATGAAGAAACCCTGGGTGAAGCACGAAATGAACTAATAGGCAAAATCATTTCAATTGAAGAAATGATAATGGAAAACAAATTATTCAGAACACCAGAAGAAAGAGATAAAATCACATTAGAATTTAATAAAAAGACAGAAGAATGGTTCACACATTACAGTGATTATTTAGAAAGAAAGAAGAGAAAAGAAGAAGAGGAAGTAAAAGAAGTAAACATACAAAAAGAAATGCGACAACTAGAAGCATGGACAAATAGAAAAGTAAGAAATATACTATTTGATTCAGATATTGATAATTGGAGTATTAATACATCAATATTTGATCAAAGAATAAAGAATAAAGAAGATATAATAATTATTATTGAAGATGAATGTGGAAATAAATTTGGAGGATACGTTAATGAGAAAATTGATAAAGTTGATTATTATATAAATGATTCACAGTCATTTGTATTTTCATTAGAATCAAATGGAAGAATTGAAGGAATGAAGAAATTTGATATTAAAGAATCAGAATATGCATTCGGTTTATATAATAAATCAGATGATTGTTTATTTGTATTTGGAAATGGAGATGATATTTGTGTTTGTAAAGAAAATAATAAAACAGAATCACGTTGTAGTCAACAAGATTCATTTGAATATGAAGGAATATCAAACGCACTTTGTGGAAAAAAATATTTCACACCAAAACGAATTATAGTAATTGAAATGAAATGATTCAATCTTGATTATTTGAAAATGAAATAAAAAAGAATAAAAACAAAACAATGAAGAATATGAACATTTTGTTCATCTGCCAATGAATGAAATGGTGAATTAAAATTGACATAATTCAATGTTGATTTATTTTATTTCATTTAAAATTTTTACACACAATGATGGTGTTTTTAATAAATAAGAATGAAATAGAAATAAGAATCAATGAATAAACAATTTATTTGTATTATTTCATTGAATTAATTCATTATGAATCAAATGAATAAGATAATAGAAATAATAATAAACAAATAAGAAATAAAAGAAATGATAAAATAATAAAAGAGAGTCAAAAGGAATAATAAAAAGAATAAAGAAAATATGATAAAAAGAAAGGAAATGAATGGATAATAACAAATTAATATAAATTAGTACAATATATCATTAATATGTAGAAATAGAAATTTAAGAATATCCATACACTAACTAATATCGAAAGAGTAAAAACATTTTCATATTTATTAAAACCACAAATTTGTTTCATCAGAAATTATTTATTTATTATTAAAAACATAAAATAGTTGATATTTTTTCATTTCTATTCTGTTATTACTAATACCATACTGATAATTGGATAAAATATTAATAAAAATAAATTATATGAAAGAAATATTAGTGAGTAGATTTAAATTATAAATTCACAACAACCATTAAGAAGATATGAATATATTTAATAATTAACTAATTTTTACTTAATTAATTTATTTAAAAAAAAGATAAAATTGAGGATTAATATCTAAAATAGAAATGAAATAATACAAAAGCTCAAGAATTTCATCTCATAAATATTCAATAATCAATTCAAATGACATCTCATGAGAATTTTCAGAAAATTGCAAAAGAAATAATGTTTGCAACAACAAAGAAAATAGTTAGATTTGAATGTAGTGATAAACCAGCAAGTCGATATAATTCTAAATTAGGAGGAAATCCTTATTTACCAAAAGGATTTGAATATCCAAAAGACTTATCCACTAACAAACCATTATCTTTTCTAATGCAAATTAATTTTGAAGAATTTGAAGCATTAGAAAATTATCCAACAAAAGGAATTTTACAATTTTATATTTTAGTTGATGATTCATATAATTTTGGAGTTAATTATGAAGATATAACAAACCAAGAAAAGTTTAGAGTTGTTTATTTTGAGTCAATTGAAAAAGATGAAACTAAATTACAAGAAGCACCAATTATTGAAAATACAAATGACGGTCCTATATTTACACCTTGTTTATTACTTCCAGAAAAAGGAGAAATGGGAATTTCACCTAGCTGTTATCAATTTAATAAAATTGTTGATAAATATGCAATGAAATATGAAATTGATGATTCAGAAAAAGATAGTTTAAATGAATATCTTTATGAATTTTTAAGTGTTCAAGATGATATTCATATTGGTGGATATTCTTCATTTACACAAGAGGATCCTCGATTCTATGATAATAAACAACTTACTGAAACTCTTCTTCAAATTGGAAGTATTTTTGGTGGAAATAATTCGAACTATATAATGTGGGGAGATTGTGGTATTGCTAATTTCTTTATTAATACAGAAGATCTTAAAGCATCAAACTTTACTCGAGTTGGTTATATCTGGGATTGTTGCTAACTTGATTTTCTTTTTTTTTTATTTTATATCAAATTTTTATTGAAATTCATCATTCTTATTAAAGATTAGAGAACTTAATAGAAAGAAAAAGAAGAAAGAGATTGATATAGAATACACAGAAGAGTTAATAAAGAAAAGCAAAAGAAAAGAAAACAAAGAATGCAGATATATTGGATATTATTTCAATAAAGAAATATGTGAAGAAATAATAAGATATATTGATGAAAAATGGAAATGGAAAGAAGGAGGTATTAAAGAGATACAAGAAGACATTTACCGAATAACATACATAATGAAGAAGTATTTAGAAAACAAATTCATAGGATTTAAGAAAGAATATGAAGTAGTAATACAAAGCATGATAAATAAACTAAAAGACATGCTAATAAGAGGAAACTATAAAAAGTTAAGAAGGATATTAAGAACAATGATTATTATGAATATTAAAGATGAATCATTTTTTATAAAATAAATAATAATTGATTTTGATGTTTCAGTAATTTCTTTTGACATAAATAAAATAATTTAATAATTAATAATTATTCTATTGAAAATAAATGTGGGAAACGTTTAAGGAGTTGAATATTAACTTCTTTATTGTGTGTATCAAAATAAAGTTTTTCAACGGAGGAATTAAGATGAGGAATAATAGATGTATTACATTCCAGATAAACTTCTTTCAATAGTATATCTTCTAAATTATTAATGCTAATATTGTAACAAGACTTAATGAGTAATTTCTTTAATGTAATTGGTAAAATAAATTTGTTATCTGACGTTTCAATCCAAAGTTCATTTAAACTTTCCCATGAATGTAAGTCGATGATCATAGAACTAATAGTATGTACAGAATACTGAGAAATAAGGATAAGCTTTTTTATTTTGTTTGGTGTTGAAATAAAGTCATTAATTATTAGTGGTGTACAAATTAATTCATTAGCATTTTCAATTATATTTTGCAATTGGTTTCCAACTTTTTGATGAACAGGATAATAATATAATTCATCTAAGTTAATTTCATTTACTATATCTACACATTTTATTCTTTTAATATTTTTAGCTTCAGAAAGAGAGATCATTTTATCACTCATAGTGGAAATACAAAACTGAGTTACTGAAGAAGGAACATCAAGCTGTATTTTTATAACACAACGTGTAAATGATAACCTTTTTAGTTGGTTCATTTTAGGTAATTTATTGGTTATCTTGATTGAATTAAAACAAAGATTGGTTAGATTCGTAAAGTAAGAAATATCTGCATTTGATTTAAATAAGTCTAATTCTTTTAGTTCATTATCTATTGGGATTTTTGGTATGTTAAATAGACATTGATCCATTTTTAATTTTGTACAATGAATTGGTAAGGAAGAAAGAAAAGTACAATTTATTAAAATAAGTTCTTGTAAAGAAGTTAATTGTTCTATATGAAATATGTCACTTTCTTTTAATGTTATATGATGTATTTCTTTTGGGAGGTTTAATGCATCTACTTCACATTTATCAAATGATAAACTTCTTAAAAAATCAAATTTTTTCAAATTTATTTCTTGTAAGTTAATAACATTAAGTTTTGGAATATACATCTCCTTTAACAATTCCTCAAATTGAATATTTTTTTGGTACGTCCAGTTATCATTGACAGTTACAACTTTAGAATTAAGTCCTTCTATCCAAGAACTACAACAAATTTTAATATCTCGTATACATTTAGTACTAATATCAAGTACCTTTCTGATTTGATTTAAATCATTTAAGTCAATGACAAGTGATCGAATATTATATTCGTTTAATGTTTGAATGAATGATTCTTCAAAAAATTTTAACATCTTCACATGAACTAATTCAAATCTATGGTTTTTGTTGGTAAAGAATTGTTCAAGATAATTAGTAGTTGTTGGTACAGAACAATAAGTCCTTAATGAAATTTTAGTTAACAAAGGGAATTGTTCTAAATCTATAGGAGAGTCATAAGTAAATAATTTTAATTCTACTATTTTTTCTTTTAATGGTAATAAAAAACTCACCTGTTCATCATCAATTTCTTTTTGTAGATAAATTCGTTTAACTGACGTTGGTATGCAACACAAAATCAATGGAGAGAAAAAAGTTAGTTTTAATGTTTCAAGAAGAGGAAAGAATTGAAGTTCCTTGGTAAATGAATAACCAACTGATGTCATTTCTTCGGGATTGTTAATCATATTTTGAGGTTTTAATCCTGGATTTATTCTTAACATTTTAACTGCATCAAAACATTTAGAGTTAATCATTTGAAATTGGTAAAGTGTTTCTAATGTCTCAAGATATAAAATGACATTAGCCAAAAACATCTTTTCTAGTGTTTTTGTCATGAATTTAGTCTTTAATAATTTAGTTTGAAAAGTGATAATTTTTAAAAAGTATAATTATTGAGGGTTTCTTTTATTTACAGATTTATATTAAAATTAAAAATCTTTTTAGATGTTGACTTTTTGGAATAAATAAAAATGGAAAACTTGTAATAAAAATAATCAGATCTGATTTGCGAAAATGACAGAGAGTAAAGAAAAGCCAGAAATCGGACATGTTGATAGCACAATTCATTATAATATAAAAGGGAATGAGTTAATAGATATTATTGAACATAGAAATAATGAAAAATATCAAAGACTTGGTGGTATTCATGGTTTATGTGAATTATTAAATGTAGATGAAAAGAAAGGAATAGCATTAAATTCGATTACAAAAAGGGTTCAACAGTTTGGAAATAATTTATTACCCCCTGCTGAAAGACAAAGTTTCTTTGAAATATGGCAGGATGCATTGGAGATCAAACGCTGTTAATTCTTATTGCGTCTGCAGTTGTTTCTCTTATATTGGCTTTTATTGTACCACATGCTAAAAAAGAATGTTCAAGTAATATTGATACGGAGCCACCAGATTACTATGAAGGAATTGCAATATTAGTTGCAGTTTTTGCCGTTAGTTTAATTGGGGCGTGGAATGATTATTCGAAACAAAGTAAGTTTATTGAAATTGCTTCAAAAGAAACTGATTGTTCTGTTAAAATAATTAGAGATGGTGTTCCAATGGAGTCAACTTCTTCTCAATTAGTTGTTGGAGATATTGTTTATTTATCTGTTGGAGATGTATTACCTGCTGATGGTATTTATTTAAAAGGAAATGGACTTAGAATTGATGAATCAGAAATGACTGGAGAATCTGCTTCTGTAAAAAAATCAGAAGACAATTTTGTTTGTTTATCAGGATGTACTGTTACTGATGGAAATGGTACAATGGTACAATGGTTGTTGCTGTTGGACAAAATTCACAATGGGGAAAGTTAAAAGGATATGTTAATAAAGACAAACAAAGACCTACTCCATTACAAGAACGGTTAGATGAATTGGCTGAAAATATTGGTAAAATGGGTATGTTTTGTGCTGCAATTGTATTTATTGTATTAACACTATGGTGGTTTTATAAAGCAATTACATTTACTGGATATGTTCAACCTGATGACCATTGTAAATTATGCTCTCCAACAGAAACAACCAATTGTGTCGCTGCAAAATTTAACTGGTGGAGAATTACTGATTTAGTTGATTATTTTATTATTGCTGTTACTATTGTTGTTGTTGCAGTACCAGAAGGGCTTCCATTAGCAGTTACTGTGTCTTAAGCCTATTCAATGAAACAAATGATGGCAGACAATAATTTAGTAAGACATTTAAAAGCATGTGAAACAATGTCAAATGCTACTTGTATTTGTTGTGATAAAACAGGAACTTTAACTGAGAACAGAATGAGTGTAACTAATATTTGGATTGGAAATGAAGTTATGGAAGTTGATCAAACCAATAAAATACCAATAACAGGAGAACTTCTTCATCATTTAAGTGTTAACATTGGTATTAATACATCATTATCATCTAACATTACATCATCTAATCAAGCCATTGGAAATGAAACTGATTGTGCTTTGTTGTTATTTTTAAAAAAGATAGCAATGTCACCATCATTAATAAGAAGTACTAATACTATTTCAAGGCAATGGGTATTCAATTCAGAAAATAAAAGAATGGACACAGTTAGTGATAATTGTATTTATTCAAAAGGGGCTCCAGAAATCATTATTGGAGAAAGTATGTATTATTTAAATCAAAATGGAGAAGAAGCTGAATTTTATGAAGACCAAAAAGATCAAATTAATCAAATTATTGACCAATGGGAAAATAAAGGAAAACGGGTTATTGCTCTAAGTTATAAAAAGATGGAAGAAAAAGAGTTTCAAGAATGGAACAATACACAAAGTAACGAAAAAATTAATATCAAAAATACCTGTTTACTTGCTATAGTTGGTATTAGTGATCCTGTCAGATTAGAAGTACCTCATGCAATTGATAGTTGTAAAAATGCAGGAATTAGTGTTAGAATGGTAACTGGTGATCATGTAAAAACAGCCCTAGCTATTGCTAAGGAATGTGGTATTGTAGGTGAATGTCAAATTATTGATAAAAACTATAACTGTTCTGGAAATGTTGATATTGCTATGATGGGAAAAGACTTTTCTCTATTAAGCGATGAAGACGTTGATAGAATTTTGCCAAGACTCAAAATATTGGCACGATGTTCTCCACAAGATAAACAAAGATTAGTTGAACGATTACTTATCTCAGGTGAAGTAGTTGCTGTTACAGGAGATGGTACCAATGATGTTCCAGCTTTTAAAGAAGCTGACGTTGCTCTTGCTATGGGATTAAGAGGGACTGACGTAGCAAAACAAGCAGCTGACATTGTTATTTTAGATGATAATTTCAATTCTATTGTGAAAGCTGTTATTTGGGGGAGATGTGTTTATGACAATATTAGAAAATTTATTCAATTCCAGGTTACTGTTAATATTGTTGCACTTGCACTTTGTGTAATTGGGTCAATTTGCCAAATGGGTTCTCCATTAAATTCAATGCAAATGTTATGGGTTAATTTAATTATGGACACATTAGCTGCATTAGCACTTGGGACTGAAAAGCCTACAACAGACTTATTAAAACGAAAACCATTTAAAAGGACAGACAGTTTATTATCAAAACAAATGTTAATTAAGATTGCAATACAAGTTACGTATCAATTGGGAATATTACTAACTATTTTATTCTTTGGATCAACATTTAAATTTATTTCTGCACCTTGTGGGTATATTAGTACTATTGAAGATTATCCAGGAAAGGAGTATATTTGTAATGACAATAAAAAGCATACCATTATTGATGTTCAAGAAGACACTATAACATTACAAACTATTATTTTTAATACTTTTGTATTTTGTCAAATTTTTAATGAAGTTAATTCAAGAAGAGTAAATGGAGAAACTGATGTATTTAAAGGTATTTTTACTAATTATATCTTTATTGGAATAGAACTACTCCAAATTATTGTTCAAACGTCAATTGTTATTTTTTCTGGTGCTACATTTGGTGTGAAGCCATATCCTGGAATTAGTTTAACTCAGTGGGGAGTTTGTATTTTACTTGGATTGGTATCTCTACCATTAGGATTGTTAAATGGGTTTTTCAAGGAAAAACTAACTAATAAAACAATTTCAGTGTTTGATATAGAAGAAGTTGAAATGAAAAATAATAAAAAGAGTGATAATGACAAATGGGAAGATGAAAAAATTAATTGTACTGAAGAAAACAATGATTTTGATAAAGCATTTGAAACAAATTCTGATGAAATTTCTTTGACTATGAATTAAATTACATTTTTAATATTTTTGTTTTTAATATTTTTGCTATAAAAATCAATATTTTACTATCTCCAATCATTTTTTTTATCTTAAAAAATAAAAATATTTTTATTTTATAATTTTTTTTTACTTCAATAACTAAAAAAAGATAAATTACTTTTATTATAAATGTATTAAATTTAGATAACAATTAGAATTAAAAATTATAATAAATTAATTATAATTAACTATAATAATAATGTTTTGTTATAAATCAAAATATAGGAAATAAATTAAAGAAATAGAATTATAATTAAATTAGAGTATCTTTTATATATTTTTGATAATATTGATAAATTTTACAAACAATTTGTATAAATATTTGTAATTAATGTAATAAAAAGGTTATAACAATCAATTAATTGTTTAAACCATTACCAGTTTTCTTTTTGCTATTAATTGGTCTACTTTCTTTGTGGCATTCATTTTCTTTTAACTCTCTTTGAACAGAAATAACTCTCTTAGGTTTTTTAAAAGAAGAACAGTGTTTTGGTTGGTGTTTTATCATAGTTGGAACAGTGACATAAGTTATTTTTTCATTTATTTGGTTAGAGTTATCTTCTTGATTAGTTATAGTATTATCAGTGATTTGACTTGCTAATTTTATATCATTAGTAGTGTAATTTCCCATAACCTCTTTTATTTGTTTGAAATCTATTGGTTCATTATTTTGAGGGGTTTCAAATTCTTCATGTAATTGGTGGTTATCAATTTCAATAGACATTCTCCTTAATTCTTCTTTTTGTTCTTCAAATGAATGGTCATTATCTTCTTTCTTTTCACTTTTTGATTCTTCATTTAAAGAATAACCTGCTTCTGTTGCAGCATCACTTGGAACATCACTATTCATTTCTAAAACTTTCTTGTTATCTGCTTGAGCAATAAGATCTTCTAACTCCATGTTATCATTTTTTATTTCAGCTGTTTGTTCAAAGCTTACTTTACTTTCGGCTTCTGTTTTTGATGAATCAAGTTTGTTTTCTTCATTCATTCTTTGAGACTCATATACAAATGAATTTACTGACGCATCAATAGGCTTTGAAAATACTTCTTCATTTTTTATAGTTTCAACTGTTTTATATGGTGTAGGTACGCAATCCATTGTTGTGTCAGTTGTAGAGTTGTCAAAATCATTTCCTTTATCTTTAAGTTCATCCATCACACCATTAACACATAACACATCTTGTTTAGACCTAATTGAATTTAATCTTACTTCACGCTCAGTTATTGAAGGAGCTTGAGTTACACTAAACATAACTTTTTTTTCAATTGGAGGTGTAAGTGGAGGTGTTATATTGCTTTTATCTTGTTCAATATCATCATGGTCAATGTCAACATCAATGTCTTCACTTTCATCTGGTTCAATTAAACCTTTTAATGAGTTTTGTGATTTACTAAAACTTTTACGTTCATTTTCTTGATGGATAACAAAACCAGTACTGGCAGTTTCTTTGGCTATATATTAGTTTAGTTGTTGTATGAAAGGAATAAATGAGGAACAAACAAGTGTTTGGTTCCATTGATTGATTGTGATTAGTCTTCAATTTATTTTTTTTATTTCTTTTTTTTTTTTAAAAATATACAATAAAAATAACAATTAATTTATTCAAACATATAACAATATATGTGTTAAATTAATGTTATTGTAAAATAAAAATAACATTTATTTAAAATAGAATGATGTTAAAAATAAGAATTGACTTTATTTGTTAATAACGTGTATTAACTATTTAATCTTATTTTGAACTTATAAACATCAAATTGAATTGAAATAGAGGTAGTGGTTACTAACTAAATAGAAGAATGGACAAATAGAAAAGTAAGAAATATACTATTTGATTCAGATATTGATAATTGGAGTATTAATACATCAGTATTTGATCAAAGAATAATGAATAAAGAACATATAATAATTATTATTGAAGATGAGTGTGGAAATAAATTTGGAGGATACGTTAATGAGAAAATTGATAAAGTTGGTAATGGCTATATAAAAGATTCAAAATCATTTGTATTTTCATTAGAATCAAATGGAAGAATTGAAGGAATGAAGAAATTTGATACCAAAGAACCCGAATATGCATTTTATTTATTTAATCAATCATGTGGTTATTTGTTTTCATTTGGAAATGGACATGATATTTGTGTTTATAAAGAAGATTATAAAACAAAATCAAATTGTACACCATATTCATTTGAATATGAAGGAATATCAAACGCACTTTGTGGAAAAAAATATTTCACACCAAAACGAATCATCGTAATTGAAATGAAATGATTCAATCTTGATTATTTGAAAATGAAATAAAAAAGAATAAAAACAAAACAATGAAGAATATGAATAGCCATTTCGTTCATCTGCCAATGAATGAAATGGTGAAATAAAAATGGACATAATTCAATGTTGATTTATTTTATTTCATTTGAAATATTCACACCCAATGATGGTGTTTTTAATAAATAAGAATGAAATAGAAATAAGAATCAATGAATAAACAATTTATTTGTATTATTTCATTGAATTAATTCATTATGAATCAAATGAATAATATAACAAAATTAACGAAGAATGAATAAGAATAAGAAAATAACAAATAAAATAAAGAATGATAATAATATAAAAAGAAATGAATATAAAGAATGAAATTAATGAAGGAAAATAATATAATTGTATGAAATAACAAATTAATAAATATAACAAAAGATAAATGAAATGATGTATTATTTGTAATAATAAAATAATAAGAAATGAAGATATAAATAAGAAAATATAAAACAATAAGACATAATAAATGAATATGAAATAATAAATGAATAAACAAAAGATGAGAATAACTAAAATGAAAAGTAAAGAATGAAAAGAAGAATAAAACAAAGGATAAAATAAAATAAAGAAAAGAAATAAACAACGAATATTTCAATAATTACCAAATATTTACACAAAGAAGAAAAAGATAAAAAAATAAAAGATAAAAAAAAGCGGATAAAGAAAAAAAGAAGAAAATGATGATTAACAAAATAGCAGAAATAGACAAATTATAATAAGAAATATAAACAGAAATTCATAATTTTATTAAACACAGTTTTAATAATACTGTCAATGAGATATAAAAGAAAAGAATAAAGAAATAAGATATAAAGAAATAATGAAGACATCAATATATGTTAATGATATAAATGATAGTATTAAAATAGAAATATGAAATAGAAGAATTAATAGAAATGATGAAAGATTTCATTTTAATCCAAAACATTTAAATGAATATTCAAGATAATTAAAAGAACAATGAAAGAGAATTAAAATAAGATAGAGAAATAAATAGAAATATAAAGAAATAGAATAGAAATAAAAAAGAATTGGATTAAAATTCAAGAAAGAAAAGAATTAATGTAATGATAAATAATGAAATAGGAATTACATAATTTTATAAGAAGATATAATGATGAAATAAATAAGAAATAGAAGAATAAAATGAAATATAAAATATAACAACCAACAACCAACAAGAACCAACAATTTAATAAATAATGAGTTAAAATGTAGAAATTATGAAGATAAACCTATTAACATTTGATTTAATTAATCTAATATTTAGAAGTTAGTTCTATCATTAAACTATTTTGTTTAAATTTGTTATTTATGTTTATTGTAATTAATATCTTTTTTTCATTAATTAAAAAAATGTTGGCGACTGGCAGGTTTCGATCCTACGACTCTTATTAATTTAACTTAGTATTTCATATTTATTAAATTACAAATAAGTGTTTTACACGTAAAACTACAGCCACTTCTTGTTTATTTGATTTTATTTTCCTTCTCTTTTATTTTTGGATTTTTTATTGTTATATATCCCTTTTCTTTTTCTTTATTTCTTTTTCATTATTTCTTAATTTAAAATATTTCACTATTATATTTTCAATTCTTCTTTTTATCATTCTTTATTTGTATTGTCTTTCTATTTCTTTTATTTCTTTATTTACTTTCTTATTCTTCTTTTTATATTATGTTTAATGATTTGAACTTATCATATTTATGATTTAATCTCATCATCATCATATTTTCTTTTTTATTCTTTAGTAATCTTTAAAATTATTCATTATTTATTCTTAAATTATTTCAAATTAGTGTATTCTTATTCTTTTCTTTTTATTATTGGTATATTTTGTTTAGTATTTCATCTTAACTCCTATTATTTTATATTTTATTATGAAAATTAGATTCTTCATATTTCATTTATATTAATCATATATATTCATCATATTTATCATTTCTTTCTTTATTTTCATTAATACTTCAATAATCTTTTTTATACATTACTTATTCATTACTACAGATTTCTTTTTACATTACTTATACTTACTAACTCCTTTTATTTTTTTCTATTCTTCATTCTTCTAATTCTCTTTTAATGATACTCCATAAATTACATCATGAGAATATTATTGTTATTTAACAATTGACACATACGTGTAATCAAAAAAACTAAATATTTGCATTCTTTTAAAATAACTGATGTATTAACATCACCTCAAAATGATGAAATAAAATGTTTTATGAATGAAGAAAACTATGAAAATAAAGAAGATAAACGAATAAGTATAATTAATATATTACGTAGTGATGATATTATATTTAAATAATAATTAATTATCATTTATTCAAATTAATAAAGTTTTGGTTATATTTTTTATTATTTTATTTTATATAATAATGAAAAATGTATAATAAAGAAAAAAAAAACGAATAAATTAACAAAATAATGCATTTCAATTTATAAAAACAATATAAATAACAAATAATAATAATAAACTACAAATATACAAAATAATGGAAATAAATCAATATTATAATGAAATATAAATGTAATAAAATAGCAAATTAAAATTAATAATCATATTAATGAATATATTCTTAAAATAATAATGATTTAAATTATGAATTGAAATTATTTTTCATTTTATATCATTTATTATTCATGGTTTTAATTTATTTTATTATATTTAATATTTATTCAATTTGTTGAATGACTTACAAAAATGAATTGAATTTTTAATTTAATATTTCGTTTATTCTATTTATTATTGAATTTCAAAATACAATAATACATTAATATGATGAAATGAAGAATGAAATAATTGAGTCATTATAAAATAAAAAGAAAATAAAAGATAATAATAGAAATGAGTTAACTAAATTATATTATATTATATTTATTGTATTATTCATCTCTCACAATAAACTTATTATTTATTTAACCTTAAAAATGTCTATTCATCAATTATTTACTTATTATTTTTTTCAATTCTATAAATGTGATTTTATATTCCTCAACATTACACATTTCTATCGAGTTAAATTTGTTTTAGACGTCATCAATTTAATTACTCTTCATTTAAGTTGCTATCTTTTTTTTATTTTGAATTTAATAAATATTAAAATTCCATATTTTTTTCTATTATTTAATGGGGAATATACCAATACTATATTATTACAACTTATTTTTTTTTTCACAACAACATTCATATCCTTTGTTCTTTGATAATATAAATGTGTTCAATTCAAGTCATTTATTATCAAATCGCTTGTATACTGATAAATAAATGATATTAGTACATTTATAAATCCACATTCTTATATTATAACAAATAATATTTAGTCATAATAATTATTAGTCACTGTCAACCATGTAGTATTGAGTAAGAAGTTTTCTAACCAATAGCAACACCATAAACCAGAATTGTTGATTCAAAAAATTAAATTCATTTTAATGCTTGTAAAGTGTTTCTGACGTATCATCTTCCATTCATTCTTTAAACAAAAGAGATAGATAATCAATAAAACAATTTAAAATAATATTTTCAATAAACCAAAAAAAAATCATTCAAAAATAATTATTATTCCTAATAAAAAGAGAAACAAAAAAATAATAATTGGATTTAAAAAAGATTTAGTTTTTAGTTCCATTAACTAAATTGTTATAAATTTTATCAGTCAAGCGATTAACTAAAGCTTGGTCTTGAACACATTTAGCACCTGATTTAACTGCACATACATTAATAGTATGAACTTTTTGATTTAAATGTTTCATAATTAAATGACATTTTTTAATAGTCTTTTTTTGAGATTTTTGAATTACTTTTTGAGATTTCATTGCTTTTTTAACAATTTTATTTAATAATTTCTTTGGCATTTTTTCTTTTTTAAGGACTTTTTTAACGACTTTTTTAGTCAATTTTTTAGCTTGTTTTTTAGAAACAACTTTAGAAATAGTTTTTTTTAATATTTTTTGAGCTTTTTTAATAGCTTTAATATTAGTACCAGCTTTTAAAATTGCTTTTTTAGCAATTTTTTTAGCTTTAGAGATAACTTTTTGAGCTTTTTTAGTGAGAATAATTTGAGTTTTTTTACTAGCAAGTTTTAATTGTGTTTGACATTTTTTATTTGATAAAGAAATTAATGAATTTTGATTTTCAAGTTTAGCAATTCTTTTTTTATAATCAGCAAATAATTGAGCATCCATAAATTTATCTTTTTCATTTTGAATTCTTTCTTTTAATACAGCAAGTTCTTCTTTCATATCAATATATTCTTTTCTCATACGATGTAATCTTTTTTTATTTTCTTTTAATACTTCACATGAACAATTTTCAATATTTTTATATGCCATTAATTTAACTTTACTTATTTTTTTTGCTGCTGCTGAAATAATACCAGCAGAATATGTTTTTCCATATTTTCCTGAAAGAATTGTTTTAATTTTTTTAACCATTTTTTTAGCTTGTAAAATTTGTTTTTTAGAAGTTTTTTTATGATTATTTTTACGTGCTAAAATTTTGGAATATTTCTTTAATAATATTTTTGCAGCTTTTTTGACTTGTTTTTTAGATATTTTTTTAGATTGATATTGTTTTCTCTTGAAAAATTTCATAATATTCCTTTTACTCATTCTCTTCTTTAACATTCTTCTTTTGAGTTGTGCTTTTCTATTCTTATGTGTCACTCTTCTATGATGATGTCTTCTCATTGGTCTAGCTCTTCTCCATGAATGTCTTCTGTGATGATGTCTTCTCTTTGGATGTCTTCTATGATGATGCTTTCTCCAAAATCTATATCTTCTCCATGGATATCTTCTGAAGTATCTTCTACGATGATGTCTTCTCCATGGTCTATATCTTCTATAATGTCTTCTTCTTCTTCTGTCTTCGTCATCATCATCTGTTAATTCATACTCATCATTATCTTCTTCTTCTCCTTCTTCTAAATCAATTTCATCTTCTTCATTATCTTCCTCTTCATTTAGTTCATCAACATCATCATTTAATTCATACTCTTCAAAGTCATTAGTTTCACCAACTTCAAAAGCATCTTCTTCAACAGCATTTACAGCGAATAATAAGAGTGCAATTAAAAACAATTTCATATTATGATTTTTTTACTTTTGAGTTCTTCTTTTTCTTGTTTTTTTTTAGAAATAGTAATAAAAATAATAATATATTAAACAATTTACTATTCTTAGTATTTTTTTAACTAAAAATAATTTATTTCAGTTCTAATTGTAATAAACAAATATTTTCTATAAATTACAAGAAAAATGAATAAAAAAGATAATAAAATAAAACAAAGAAAAAGAAAACTAACAAAAAGATAATTTTTTTAAGGGTTTACTTTAAAATGAGGAGTTAATTAATGTCAACAGGTAATCGACCTAAACCTAATATTCTTGTAACTGGAACACCAGGAACAGGAAAGAGTTTAGTATGTTCAATGATAGCTGAACGCACCGATATGAATTATGTTAATGTAGGTGATGTAGTGAAGCAATATGGATTTTATGAAGGAAGAGATGAAGAAATGGATACACTTATTTTAGATGAAGATAAAGTTTGTTAAAAAAGAAAAAAAAACAGAATGAAAGAATAAAATGAAACGAATTTATTATTTTTAAAAAGAAATACTAAATAAAAATAGTTATTAGATTATTTAGAAGAAATTCAAAAAAATAATAATTTTTTATTAGAATATCATTCATCAGAATTATTTCCAGAGAGATGGTTTGATTTAATAGTTGTATTAAGAACTGATAATACTGTTTTATATGACAGATTAGTAAATAAGTTTGTTAATAAAATAAAATTAAATAAAATTAAATAAAATTAAATAAAATTAAATAAATAAAATAAATAAAATTAAAAATAAATAGAGGATATAAACCAAATAAAATTGAAAATAATATTGATTGTGAAATATTTCAAATTTGTTATGATGAAGCAATGGAAAGTTATCAACATAAATTAGTTTGGATGTTACAAAATGATACTCCTGAACAACTTGAATTTAATGTAAATTGTATTTGCAAATATATTGAATTATGGCCAAAAGCATGGGGAATATCAGTAGAAGAAATGCTTCAAATACATTAAAAATAAAACAAAAATAAAAGAAAAAATAACAATAAATGAAAATTGATTTTTTTTTTATTTGAAATAAAATCTTTCATTTTTAAATTTTATTTTTACATAAAATCATTAATAATTATCAGAATTAAAAGGAGGTAATATTGTTCCATTTGATTTAAATTGAGTCATAGTTGGTTCATTTGATTTTTGTTTATTATTTCTAAGTCTAGAATTTTCAAGATTTCTCCATTTATCTTTTAAATCAACACAACTTCTATCATCGAATTTAAAATTATTTAAAATTAATTTCCAATGACCAATACCAAATTGTTGAACACCTTCTATTAAATTTTGAGTTTCTTCTTCAGTGAATCTTCTTTTCTTTTTTTTAAGTTTATTATTTTCAGTTCCATCATCTATTTTAATAGAAGAATTTTCAAGTAATTTTAAAGAAGGTTTTTTTTTAGATTTTTCTTCTTTATCGCATTTAATTTTTTGTTGAAGTAATAATTGATGTTGATGAATATGAGGTTGTGTGAGTTGATGAATATATTGACTTTGATAATTTTCAATTAAATCTGATTGTTGTTGAAGTAAAAAATCTTTTACTTTAGGATCTTCACCAAATACAATTGCTTGAAAAGTAGTAGAATCTAATCCCATTGCTGTTTGAATTTCTCTAATAGAAATGAAATCAGTAGAAGGCCAAGAGAAAGGTTTAGAAACAATTTTACCATTTAAATAATTATAAAAAACATTTCTTAAAGTAGAAGAAGGACATATTTCTTTAAATTGATATAATAAATGTTTAATATGTTCAATAGTTCTAATTAATGGATATCTTGAAAGAATATATTTAACTTCTTGTATATTTTGAAGATATTCATTTGAATCAGTTATTCCTTCTTTTATTGGTGTTTTTAAAAGTGCTTCAATTGCTGATAAACAATATTTTCTTGAAGATGCAACATATGGTTGTTCTGAACTCTCTGGAAGTAAAATATTTATATGACGAATAAGTTCTCCTTGTTGTATTTGAAATTTAGAATATAAATGAAATATTGAAATCATTCCAATAATTCCAATTAATGATGGAATTGATTTAAGTATTTCTGCATTTGGATCTGAACAATATATTTGAATTACATTTGAAATAATTTTTGGTAAATATTCTATTTCAATATTAAATGGTTCAATACTTTCAAAAAAATTTATAACCGTTGCTAATGCTCTTTTATTATGTAATTCTTGTGGAATATCTGATTCTACAAATATTTGTTGATTTAAACATTGTTCATATAATTCACAATTAATTCCTGAATCAATTAAATATTCACATATTGATATTAATGTTTTTTTATGATTATCAAATACATTATAATCATCTACTTTATTTTGTTTTAATTGATCAATTATATGATGAGCAACAATACATTTATCTTCAATGCAATTCATTTCTTCTTATTCTTTCTAAGTTCTTTTTTTTAGTTTTATTTTTTTTATTTTTTTCTTTTTTTATTCAAATTGTTATTTCTGTTTATAACGGTTGTTTTTTGTTTTTCATTTATGTTATTTGAAAGAAATAATAATTTTATTATAATATATTATTATTATAAATTAATTATAAAACAAAAATTAAATAACAAAAAAATTGATGGAAGAAGGTAAATTTACTACTCTTGGAATAAAGAATTTTGTGACTCATTATCTTCAGCTTCATATAAAGAACTTTGAGTTGCAACATTAATTTCAAGAGTTTGATATGTAGCATTCTTTCGAGATAATCCACATAAAATTCTTTGTAATAATACTAATAATAACTCTACTAATGCAACAACTACTAATGCAAACATTCCAATACCTCCAATAATTTTATAAACTAATCCTGTTGTTGTTCCATAATCACATCCATTAACAAAGTATGTTGACTCAATTGCTTCTTTATCATCTGGAGATTTTAATTTACAAGTTAATTCTGTTGTATCATTTCCATTCAATTGACAATATCCATAACAACTCTTACACATATGATTAGAAAGGAATCGAGTTGCTAAATGCATAACAGGATCAACAATAAGTCCATTAAGTAAATCATTTCCACTACTTGAAAAGAAGAAATATAATTTATTTTTAACAGTAGTATAAAGTCTTTCATATTTAATTCTATCTTTTGGTGATGCAGTATCATAAGAAATACTATAAAATGTAATATCATTCTCTCTAAGAGTAGTATTATATTTAGTAACTAATGTTTTCATATTTTCTGTATCTCTATTTAATGAAATAATAATGGTTCTTCCTTTCATACTTCCAGTATATGTTTTAACCATATTAGCTGCTTCTTGAATAGGTGCATCATTTGAAGATGATGCATATTTAAGAGTAGCTAATGAATTTTCTATTTGACTAAAATCACTAGTAAAAGCAACTTTAGTTCCATCATAATTCATAACACCAACTTCAACAGTAGTACTTCCTTCTTTAGTTTTTGCCATAGCAAGATCTCTTAAACTATTTAATAAATCTAATTTAGCACCAGTAAATGCATCTTCAGTACCACCAAAGTTAGGATCAATCACTAATAAAATCTTTGCTTGTCTTCCTGTATTTTTTATTGTTTGACTAGTTGTCTGTTCAATATATTTTTCTATCTCACTTTTACCATGTTCTGATAATGCACCATAACTTCTAAATGTAATACATTTACCTGTCTCAAAACAAATACGACATATTTTACCTGTTTCACTAGAGACATAAACATAATCAAGATATGGTGAAACTCCTTTATATTCAGTACAATGTTCACTATTAATAAATAATGTTCTTAATTGTACACTAACATCATAAGTTAAATTGTAAAACACTGCATGTGTTCTATTTAATATATTAGATGAATAATTTAATCTATGATATGAATAATATCGTTCACCATTATCTCTAAATACTGCATCTACATGATTTATTTCTTTAAAGACTGTAACCATTTGGCCATTTGGTCCATCATAATATAATTGTCCATCCATTGTAAATGATAAATCTTCAATATTAGAGATATATACATTTCCTTCCATAGTTTTAATGGTTGTGTAATTACTTTGACCAAATACTCCAATACATAATAATAAACCAATAATTCCTCGCATCTAATATCTTTACTTTTAAGATCTTTTGAACTTATTACTTTTAGTTTTTTTTTTATTTTTTCTTTTTATTTTTTTTTTTAATTTCTTTTAAATCATAAAATAACATAAAAAAGTAAATTATTTTTCTTTTTATACACATCAGTTTTGTTATTTCAATAAATAACAGAAATTTGATTTACTTTTTGTTATTATTGAGAAAGATCCAATTGTTTAAATCCATCAGACATTAAACTTGGAGGAATCAAAGCGTTTCCAACAGATGGGAGAGTATTTTTTTCTTGTTCATTATTAGGATGAGTCATAGTTGGTTCATTTGATTTTTGTTTATTATTTCTAAGTCTAGAGAATTCAAGATTTCTCCATTTATCTTTTAAATCAACACAACTTCTATCATCGAATTTAAAATTATTTAAAATTAATTTCCAATGACCAATACCAAATTGTTGAACACCTTCTATTAAATTTTGAGTTTCTTCTTCAGTGAATCTTCTTTTCTTTTTTTTAATAACTTGACCATTTTCATCAACAGGTTGACGTATTGGTTTATTAACTTTTTCATTTTTCTTTTTATTAACTTTATTAGTTAAAGACAAATCATCTATTTTATTATCATATATTCCAACAGGTAATTTAACAGGTTCTGCATAATACTGATAAATTAATTGTTGAACTAAACTTGGATTTAATGATTGATGATACTTTTCTAATTGAGTTTTAATATGTTCAAGTGTTGCAATCACTGGATATCTTGCAATAATTTGATGAATAGAAGTAATTCTCATAAGAAATTCTTCAGGATTAGTTAAATTATCTGGTATTTCAGTTTCTGATAAAATGTCAATTGCTTCTTCACTACAAGAACGACTTGTTTTTAAATAAGGAAGTTGTGATAATGCAGGAAGTAATAAATCAAGCCAATCCCACATTGCTTGAGTTTGAACTTTTTTAGAAACGTATTGATAAAACAAAGTAATCATTCCAGTGAGTCCAATTAATGAAGGTAATGGTTTTAATATTTCACTTTTTGAGTCTTCTTGAAAAAGTTGAATAACACATTCTGATATTTTTCCTAATGATTCTACTTGTGGACAATTTGGGTCAATTCCATTTATTATTTGTAATGCATATTTTAATGTTCTTTTCTTTTTATAATTTTGTGATAATTCATCTGGATTAATATATTCATTTTGAATTAATTGATTAAATAATCCACACTCTATGTCTTGATCCATTAAATATTCACATATATCTTCTAATGTTTTTTTTCTACACAACGTTTCTAAATCAGTTGATACAATCATAGGACTTTGTTCCATTTTTACTTCAATTGGTATATTTTGTGTTGGATGTAATGGCTCTTGACTAACAATTCGTTGAAGGGTTGCAAACTGAGGGTTATTCATTTTCTTTTGTTTTTTTGAAGATAGAGAAACCCTTTTTTCTTTTTTTTTTTTTTTAAGGTTTTCATTATTTTGTTGATTTTAAGGGTTTTTTTTTGTTTTATAATTTTTATTATTAAAATTTTTGATATATATAACTAATTTAATAATCAATTAAATTAAGTTTCTTTAATAAAGCAGATGGGTCAGGATTTCTTCCTCTAAACTCTTTAAATAATTCACTTGCTGGTTTAGAACCACCCATTTCAAGGATAGAAGTTTTGAATTTAGTTGAAATAAGACTATTAAAAATACCATTTTCTTTAAATAATTCAAAGGCATCAGCCTCAAGAATTTCAGCCCATTTATAAGAATAATAACCACTTGCATAACAATAAGTTAAATTAAATAAATGACTAAAATGACGAATAATAGATAAAGAAGAAGAAGAAAAAGGATAATCATAATTTTCAGTAATTAAAGAAATAAAATCATCTAAAGGAAGATTAGATTGAATATAATGTTGATGTAATTCTAAATCAATTTTACTAAATTTAAGTTGTCTCATCATATAAAATGCTGACATAAATATTCGTGTTTGAATTATTTTATTATATATGTCTTGAGGAATTTCTTTTATTCCACCAACTTCATTAAATAAATGAAAAACTTCTTTTTCATATATCCAATTTTCCATAATTTGACTTGGTAATTCAACAAAATCCCATTCTACATTCATTCCAGTTAATGAAGCAAATCTTTGTTTAGAAAGAATAGTATGCATAAGATGACCACTTTCATGAAATAATGTTTTTAATTCACTATGACTAAAATATGAAATAGTATCATTATTTGGTGGTAGAAAATTACATACAACTACTCCTAATGGTTTAATAAGTATTCCTTGTTCATTTAAATAATTTGTTCTTAAAACATCATGAAATCCACCTGCTTTTTTTCCTTTTCTTGAATATAAATCAAAATAAACTCCACCTAATCGTTTATTATTTGAATCAATAATATCATAATATTTAACATCTTGATGCCATCCTTTTATTGATTTATTATAACAAAAAGTAATTCCATATAATCTTTTATATACTTCAAATAATACTTTAAATACAATTGGTTCTGGAAAATATTGTCTTATTTCTTCTTCATTATATTTTAATTGTTTTTCTTTTATTTGTTCAATATAAAAATTAATATCCCATGGATTTAATTCACTATTTCCTGTTTGTTCTTTTTTATATTTTATTATTTCTTCTACTTCTCTTTTGAAGAATGATAATATTTTCTTATGTAAATCTTCAATAAAATTCATTGCATTTTTACTACTTTTAACCATTCTTCTTTTAGTAATATATTCTGAATAATTTGAATATCCAAGTAATTTAGCAATTTCTTGTCTTTTTTCTAATACTTTATTAATAATATTAGTATTATCATATTCACCTTTACTACAAAGACTATTATATTGTATAAATATTTCTTTTCTAATTTCTTCATTTTTACAATATTTAAGTAAAGGTAAATAAGAAGATGCTTGAAGAGTAATTAAATAACCTTTTAACTTTCTTTTTTGAGCTTCATTAAAATAATGTTCTAAAATATTAGATGGAATACCATCTAATTTGTTTTTATCTTCTATTAATAATGAGTAATTATCTGTATCATTTATTACGTTACTTAAATATTTTTTACTTAATTTAAATACTTCTTCTTTTAATTGAATAAATTTATTTTTTTGACTATCATTAAGTAAAATTCCTCCATCAATAAAGTCATTATAAATTTTTTCTATTAATTGTCTCTGATCAAATTCTAATACTTCTTTTTGTTTATAATTATATTCTATTAATTTAAATAATTCATTATCAGTATAAATACTCGACTTAAATGAAACTTCTTTTGAGAAAATTTCTTCATTTAGAAGTGAATATTCTTTAATATCACTTCTACATAAAATTAATATGTTAAGTTTATACATTATATCTTTTAATGGAATTATTGCATTATCAAATGGACGTACTGTATTTTCAAATGTACTTTGATTTATTGGAATTTCTTTTATTTTTTGAATATTTTCTTTACATATCTTAATCCCTTCTTCAATGTCGTTGACAATACACTCTGGTTTTAACTCTTCAAAATTAATTATTTCTTCATTCTTTAAAAATGGATGTTGCATCTTTTCTTTTTCTTTATGAAAATAAAGTTCTTTTTCTTTATGAAAATAAAGTTCTTTTTCTGTAAAAATTAGTTAATTTAATATTGATAGAATTTTCATCGATTCTTCATTAATTAATTAATATTAATCATATCATTCATCATTAAAAAAAAGAGTCACTTCTTTGTTTTATATATTATTTAGATTTTCTTCTTATTTTATGAATAAATCATTTTATTTTATTTGTTTTATTCTCTTTTCTTTTTTTCTATCATGTCATTTCTTCTTTTTATCATTTTCTTTGATTTTTACTTCAATTTTAATGAATTTCTTCTTTCTTTATTTTCTTATTTTATGAATGATTATTTCATTATCATTATATTATTATGTATAATTTCTTTTCTTATTATTATTTCATGTTATCTTACTTCATTCTTTGTATTGTTATTTATTATATTTCTTATTCAAATACTTCATCATAATCATATAACAATTGATAATTTGAATATTGAATGTGTAGTAATGTTTTTATAACGTTTCATACTTACCATCTTTAAATATAAACTTCTTTTTTATAAATTTTAATAAAATAAAAAAGAAAATAGAATTAAAAACCCTTTTGTTTATTTCTTCTTTTCAGCTTTTTTTGCTTTCTTTAATTGAGCCTCAATTTCTTTTTCTTTTTTCTTAGCTGCTTTAGCTTCTTCTTTCTGTTGTTTCTTTTGTTCTTTCTTTCGTTTTTCTTCAAGTCTTTTTGCCTCACGTTCTTCTTCTTCTATAGCATATCTAACATCTCCTGGAAGTTTATTATAACATGAAACACAAATTGGATTATTTTCGTATATTTTAGTTTTCTTTGGATCCATCAATTTGTTACATTGTGAACAAACAAAACATTCTTTATGGAATGTTTTATCTCCTACAATAACACCTTCTCCACTATGAACAACTTTACCACATTTTTCACATACTTGTCCAAATAATTTATAATAATGGAAATTACAATAAGGTTTACCATCATGTTCAAGGAAAGAAACACCTGTTAATGGTAAGTCACATTCAGTACATGTCAAACATTCTGGATGATACATAAATCCACATGCTTGTACAGAACGTCCAGCAATTGGCTTTTTACATTTCTCACAAATACAAGCAGATACTTTCTTATAACAAGCAAGACAATATCTCTTTCCAAGATATTCAATAGAACTTCCTCCTGTAAATTCAGATTGACAAATTGCACATTTGAAATGTTCAGGATGACATTTCATACCATTAATAATAATATAATCTCCAATAATTGGCTCTCCACATTTAAAGCAAAGATCTTTTCGTTTCTCTTGTTCAACCTTTTTACGAGCACATTCTTGACAATAAGGTTCACCTCCAATATCTTTATATGGCTTTCCTTTTAATGCTGCTTTACAGACAAAACATCCAAAATGATTTGGGTGGTATTTCCTATTATTAAATTCAATTGCTGTGTCTTCTATTGGTTGTTTACAATAATAACATCGTGGTCCACAAAGGTTTTTATAGCAATCACTACAAAAAACTTCTCCATCATCTTCACAATAATCTTCTTCTTCAAGTAAATTACACCCACACTCTGCACAAGTAAAACAGCCTGGATGGAATGCACCTTCATCTACTTCAACAATTTCACCAACAATATTTTTTCCACATCGTACACATGGATTTCCTTCAATAATAATTACAGTTCCATCAGGTTGAGTAACTTCAAGAGTTTCTCCTTTCTTAAGATTATTTATTTGCTCTTCAGTCATTCTTTGATTTATTTCAAGTTCATTTGACGTTAAAATTTTTGTCTTCTTTTATCCTATCTTCCTTTTTGTTTTTTATTTCTTTTCTTTTTAGTTAAGTGTTTATTTTCAGGTTAATTTAATCAGAAGATTGAATTATTTTACTTGTCAATTAAAGAAAATATTTAAATGAATCACTATTTTTGTAACTAATAATTTTTGTACAAATTTATTTATGATATATATCCCTTTTTCTTTAAACTGATTAAATAAAAAATAAAATTATGTGAAACTTAAAAAAAAAGAAAAGATGAAAATATCGGTTCGTTTGGGAGAAGCTCAATTTGAGAAATCCACAAAACTCACACTAAACTTATCAGAAGTACAAATTTGTCAAGGGAGATTTATTATCGTTCAATGTGGAGATCAAAAATTTCAGAGCTCAACAGAAAAAACAAGTACTCCTCAATTTTCTGATTGTTTTTCAATTAATATTGTTCCTTCTCAACGTCCAATGATTTTATTTGAGTATTATGAAACATTTATAGTAAAGAGTAGTGTTTATAAGGCATTTGTTATAATTGAGACAAATCATTTAAGTTATAATAAAGATGTAAGTCAATGGATTGAATTTAGTAATGGGGGTCGTCTCTTTGTTACATTAAGATTATGTAATTAAAAAAAAGTTGTTTTTGTTATGATTTTTGTTATTTAATTTGTTGTTAAAAAGAGAGAAAAATATAAAAAAGAAAAAAATAAGGATCTTAGAAATGAATAATTAGATAGAAGAAATGGTTTGTTGGTGATGAATTGATTAATTTAAGGAAAAGAAAATTAATTGATTTTAGGCAAATATTCAGAGATTCACAACAAGTGAAAATATAGTATGTTAATAATATTTTTTTTAGTATTTAATAAGAAAAAAAAAGTAACAAAATAGGAAGATATGGAATTTGATTTTTATGGAACAAAAGTTGCTTGTGCATTGGATGATAAGTCAATTGTAATCTTTGACACAACACAACCAGAACCAAAAATTATCTCAACGCTTGTGGGGTTTGTATTATTTATTTTATACATAAATAAAAATGATTCATTTATAGACATACTGCTGCTATTTGGCAAGTTAAATGGAGTCATCCAAGATTTGGACCAGTTTTAGCTTCATGCAGTTATGACAAACAAGTATTAATTTGGAGAGAAACTTCTAATAATAATTATGCTATTGTTTATTCTCATAAATTCCATACTAAGTCAGTCAATTCTATTTGTTTCTTCCCTGAGAGTGAGGGATTAAAATTAGCATGTGGATCAAGTGATGGACAAATTAGTATTATTGAGTATGTTGAATCAACTAAATCATGGAAAACAACTTCTTTCAATGCTCATCCTGCCGGAGTAAATACATTAACTGTAATACAAAATCATATGAAAGTTAATATTGTTAGTGGTGGCTGTGATAGTACTGTTAAATTCCATGAATATATTGATGGTGAATGGAAATGTGTTAACCAACTTAAAGACCATAAAGATTGGATTAGAGATGTTTCAGTTACTTCTTCTAATGGTAAACTTCTTTTAGCTACTTGTGCTCAAGACCATATGGTATTTATTTATGAAGTAAATGGAACTAACATTAAGTTGATTGACCATTTGCCAGAATTTAAAGAATCTTGTTGGAGAGTTGCTTTTAATGGTGATGTATTAGCTGTTTCCTTATCCAATAATGAAGTAGAAATGTGGAAAAATAATGATGGAAAATGGGTGAAAGAAGAATAAAATCCAAATTTTTCTTATTTCAGGGTTATTTTTTTTATTGGGATAATTTAAAATCGACTTAGAAAAAAATAAATAAAATAATTTTTTTTTTGTTTTTCTTTTTGTATTATAAACGTTTTTTATTCAAACGATATGCAGATTTGTGAACCTCTCTTTTTATATTCTTTGTTGATGTGAAAATCTTTTTTATTAAAAATAATGTCAGTTCAAATTTTATTTAAATTCAATTCTTTTTTTTGTCATATTAATTGTATTATTTTTTTTTTTTATTGAACCAAATTTATTTTCTAATTAAATTTCAGTAGATGAATGAAAATTTATAATTGTATATTCTTTTTATTATAAGGTTTATCAAATTAGATGTTAGTGATAATATAATTAATATAATTAATTTACTTTTTTCATATGATATAAATTCTAATCAATGAAAAATAATTATTGGATTAAAAGAAAAAAATTAATATTTCAATTTATTTCAATTGTACAAGTAATTAGAGTTAATTAAAGAATTTTATATAACTGAATTAAATTATTTATAAAACAAGAAATATTTTTTTATTATAGAAAGGTGATAATAATTACATTTAATTCAGTACATTTTATTATTTAAGAATTTAAAAGTCACATTCTTTCTCCATGGTATTGGTATTGAAATTAATAATAATACTTCTTAATTCTCTTAGAATAATCTTTTTTTAACAAATAAATAGAAGAAGTTTGCTTAATTAAACATATAAGAAGAAAATTCTTATTATTTAATAAGTAAATAAAATAAATTATTAAATATTTTAATAAGAATGATGAATTTCAATAAAAATTTGATATAAAATAAAAAAAAAAGAAAATCAAGTTAGCAACAATCCCAGATATAACCAACTCGAGTAAAGTTTGATGCTTTAAGATCTTCTGTATTAATAAAGAAATTAGCAATACCACAATCTCCCCACATTATATAGTTCGAATTATTTCCACCAAAAATACTTCCAATTTGAAGAAGAGTTTCAGTAAGTTGTTTATTATCATAGAATCGAGGATCCTCTTGTGTAAATGAAGAATATCCACCAATATGAATATCATCTTGAACACTTAAAAATTCATAAAGATATTCATTTAAACTATCTTTTTCTGAATCATCAATTTCATATTTCATTGCATATTTATCAACAATTTTATTAAATTGATAACAGCTAGGTGAAATTCCCATTTCTCCTTTTTCTGGAAGTAATAAACAAGGTGTAAATATAGGACCGTCATTTGTATTTTCAATAATTGGTGCTTCTTGTAATTTAGTTTCATCTTTTTCAATTGACTCAAAATAAACAACTCTAAACTTTTCTTGGTTTGTTATATCTTCATAATTAACTCCAAAATTATATGAATCATCAACTAAAATATAAAATTGTAAAATTCCTTTTGTTGGATAATTTTCTAATGCTTCAAATTCTTCAAAATTAATTTGCATTAGAAAAGATAATGGTTTGTTAGTGGATAAGTCTTTTGGATATTCAAATCCTTTTGGTAAATAAGGATTTCCTCCTAATTTAGAATTATATCGACTTGCTGGTTTATCACTACATTCAAATCTAACTATTT